GTAAATTGGTGTAAAAATATGATTGATTAAGTGTATACGGTATGAAAGTGATGGTTTTTGCAGTTAACAAACAGAAACTGGTTGTGGTCTATGTCCAAAACCATCCAAATGCACGTTAATATTTTAGTCAACATCATTAAAGTTATTAAAATTATTAATAACATCATATGTGCATAACATTCTTTATGGTAGATGCTTTAGCAATCACAGTCAGTATGCATTCTTAACAAATGAACAGATGGCGTCATTCGATGATGTTAAATTTGAAGTGAGCAAGTATTTTAGCTGAGATCTATCGGCTACAGGTGAATATATTAACTATTCGTACATTTTGGATGCGTGTATGTTTGTGTGATTTCCGGGTAAACATATTAGAATGTAAGAAACATTTTACATGTGTGGCCTAGCATGATATTGATAATATACTATAGGTTATGAAATTCACAATTTTCAGAACATGGAGAACTTTTCTAAGGTGTGCTCCGTAAAGCTGATAGAGATCTCTCAACAATCACAGTCTGCGTATTGGCACTGGCGTCTGCCTTTTTCAACTTGCTGTAAGTACTAGACTCATGCGCACTGCTCACATCAGTTGAACGGGCCGAAGAAATAGCATGACAAAAACCTGTGTATAAATGCCAATAAATGTTATTTTAGTTTATGTGGTTATATTGGGTTGTTTATGTAGTGATTTATTGTTTATGTTTCGAGCAACTTCATGCAGCAGAGAAAGACTATATCTCTGGCTTGTGGACTGCTTGGAGTTGGGGTAGACTTTGCACACGTAGCTGGAGCAATTTATACCAGAATACTGTTCATGCTCAGTCGCGCAATGGTAAACCATACGTGGCCTTTAATTTATGCAGGTTTTTAATGCAAATTTCTGAGTAAATTTATTCGTAAGTCACATGTTGTAGACTTGTATTTTTTTGTAAATTGCATGTATGATCACGTAATATTGAAGGCATTATAGAATTTCTTTATTCTCACACATGAAACCTCACACATATCCTCACATCAATGTTCAATCGATATCATTGTTGCAATCAAATTCACATTTCATAGAAGAAGCTTAAATGTTTGAGACTTACAAAGATTTAGCATTTTCACAACCACATGTATTGTTTACATGTTGATTGGGCGGAAAGTTGAGTTTAGTTGTTATATTATAGTTGCCACAGCTTGTGTACGATCGGTGATTCTCCACAGGTAATGATAATTGATCACAAGCTGGCCGAGGTGGTGCAAGTGCTGACCGTGTCTGGTCAGTTGATTGACCCAGTGGAATGGACCGCCGACTCAGAAGGAGTCACTGCGAGTGTTCTACCTGGTACTGCAGGTGTGCCAATATCTCATGGTTGGCCAGGTGAGTCACGTGAGATTCCCACCTTACTCCAACTACATCCAAACTTGTATATATATTGTCAGTCAGGGAAATTAGTCAAAAGTGGTTTTATACACAGGTATCCATTTATATAAAAATAAATGTACATACACACGTGCATACGGACGCACATATGCATGTATACACACAGACACACACTTGCACACGCACGCACACACACGAGTGTGTAAGTAAACGGTCTGGTGCAGGAGATTGCAGGCCCACATGACTAAAATTAATTTAATATTAGGCCCTGGTAGATGGCGCCACTGCCTTTACCTGATTCTTCAGTCTGCGCCCCACCACAGGTAAAGAGCGTGAAGCCGTGCTTGAAGCAGCTGCAGCAGAGCATCCTCAGCATTACCTCCTTCACACGGACGACGCATCCATTGCCTAGCAACCCCGTCGAGATGTTTCACTGCTGCTGCTTGCCGAAGGAGCACATGTGTGTGCTCGTCTATCTGGTAAGTGTCGTCACGTACGTGTGTCTTCACGTGCATCGGTTGCCCGACGCTGGTGCTGCCGTCGTCGCTAGTCTATGTTCTTCGTGTTGTGGTGCAGGTTTTCGACAGAGAGAAAGAAATCCGGTGACTCGTCGTGAGGTATCGTCGTCAAACGTTCCAGTTTTTTCGGTTTGTCAAATTCGGTACGTCGCATCGTCGGGTTTGAAGTGAGTGACGTATAAATTTTCTCAGCTTGTGAATTTGAGAAAAGTTGTTATACTGATAGAGTATTATACATAATAGGCAGTTTTTGGTGTGACTGATGCGCTAACGATGGTTTAATTTACGTGCGGTTATTACTAGCAGAGTTTAGTTGCGCCGTTTCGCATCTCAGCTCGACTATAGGTGTTGCGTGCCCCTATTAGGTGACTGTGATGCATTCGATGCAAGCTGGCTACATGGACAAAGCACCAGAAGTACACAGATAAGGCCTGATGCAGATTGCCAAGCTTAAAAGTAAGTGCATTCAACGACGTACGCCACAAAATTAAATAACATAACTGCGAACATAATTCCAATGGCGGAACAAAATAATTGCGGATGGACTTGACTGAGGCATTGCGTAGGTGATGAGTTGCATATAGGGGCGCCGGTACGCTTGTGGCATGGCCGGCGTTCCTCAGATGCTGCCTAGAGTGGTAATGTTGAGCAAATCTCAGGTGCACAGGGGCGCATCTGATACGTAACCTAGTCAGGTCTTTGACGCATAGTTAATAACATGTAATAATATGTTTGCGATAAATGATACATAGCAAAATATAATTTTGATATTACATGTAAAGCTGTGTATGTTATGTCTGTAGGATGTAACAAACATCGTGTCTAAAAAAAACCATCTCAAAATACTGACAGCATCGTTTAGAGACTAATGATTAAATAGATAATAATACATTACTAAAATGAAATTAGGAGAATGATCGTGGCAATCATATTTTTTTTTTTATATTTAATAAAATAGAGGCATATAAATTATGGTATGCAAGAAAATCTGCCAGTTAAGCATTCTTTTTTACGTCGCAGTGGTCGACTCCCATCCCGATCCTCTCCACATTCCAACTGATGCTTCTGGAACACATCATCATGTGTCGTCTGGTGATGGAAATAAAACAATGGCTGTACAAGAGGTAAAGTATGCAATGGAGTGTTCTCCATCGATCCCACTGATCGCTTAGCTATGCTGGCAAATACTGATAGGCTTTCCGTGAGAAGATTTTTTACTATAAAGTCCTTCCATCCTCCCACAGATTTACCTTTTATGTATAATATAACCTAAGTTTGACCTCTTAAATATACCTAATTTAATGTCGTTACTTTCACATGCAATTATACTCTACAACTATGCTATCACCTACTACCTCCATAATTTTATGCTAAATCGTAAATAAGATGCCACATTCGTAGGCGGGTCGTGACGTTGTTTCCGAATGTTTGTCTTAGCGCGAGTAGCCAATGCCGTCTTACTGCTGTCTCGCACTCTTCTTCTCAGCTCGCGGATTGCGTGCAATCCTAAAATTCATTGGTCTTTCACCTAGTAAAAACGTCGTCGGGCAAATCTGCTAGCGAATACGATTACCAGAATTTCCATCTTGAATTCACGTACGGTACATATATGCTCGCCAGATTGTGCAGGCTTGCCAGCTATGTCACCAGCATCCGAACCTGATGTCGATCTCACCGGCCGCAGGTCCACACGCTGCTGGTCTCTATGCGATGTCGATAACTGCATGGAGGCAGCGGAAACGCCAGTTCAACACTGCGCTGCGCTCGCGGTGAGCGATCGTAGATCGTCGTTGTTCTCGCTTCTTCTTTTTTTTCGCGGATTTCGGATCGGTTCTTGCCAAAAATAATAGCTGATGATAGATGTAGATACATAACTAGTTTCAATTTTTCCGTAAAACGCGATAAAGCTTGTTCTAAGTGTGTATATGTTATAACCTGTGTTATTGTATTTGGCTGGACCCTAATTTTTGCATTGTCACAAGTCATTCGGTTTATCAGCAATCCTAAAATTCTTTTGGTCTTTTACCTCGTAAGAATTTTTTACTCTCGGGCAAATATGCTAGTCTTGCAGTGAATACAATTCCTAGAATTTTTATTGTGACTTCGCGTACGCGCGACCAAACGCTCATAATTTGCCTCGGCACTTTCACTAATGTTTCGCATGAAAAATAATTTGGTTTCCATTGTCGTAGTTGTCGACGGAGAAGAACTGTGGACGTTATCAACCTGAAACCTGGCCATGTCTACCTGCGCACGAATCGCGAGGCCGACTCATGGGCCTGCTGGAACGCATCGACCCCGAACGCATTAGATCGCCAAGTGAGTCGACTCATTATTGCTCTGACGTCTTTGAACCGAGTCTCGAGTCGTCTCTCAGAGGCTCTGGGTCTCTTGAAGTACTCATACATGTGTCCTCCATTGCACTGAGTCTCTCTTGAGGCTCCTGTGGCTCGCACCGAGTCGGGAGAAGAGTCATCGAGTCTCTCCCTTTCACTTAGCTTTTATAAGACTTTCCTCAGACTCTCCTTGTTTCTTTTGTGCCTCCCTCGTGAATACATGGTATATATATTAATATAATATATCGAATAGTCTGTCCTAAGTATCTCCATTGTACTCAAGATTCATTATGTAGTTAGAATCCTACAAGTCGTAACATTTACGTCTGATTTTGGTTTGTGATGCGGCGTTACTATGGCGTTACTGTGCAGATGCTTTTGTCTTATTCGTACTAGTTAAAAGCAACCATTAGTGCCATCTATTGAAAGCAAGTACTTACTATCGTGAACAGCAGCTCGTGTGCGTAATGCCACTGGAGTCGTGAAGTGGCTTGAGACGCGGTTAAAAGAGGAAGGCGTTGCATCGACAAGGTTGTTCGTTCTTCTCGCTAATCTTCTCTGTCGCTTTCAGCTCCACAGCATCAAGGCGTCTGCTTACTACGTTCGGGGATTGCAGTCCTTCTTCCAGGCTCGCTACAACGAGGCAAAGTGAGTCGGCGCATCGCGATCATGTCACTCGGGTTACGTGGACGGCAGGGAAAAAATAATTTATTTTTCGGGGGCTACTTTTCAAGCTCGCGTGCATGAAATAGCACTCTAAAATTTGGTTTGCATTGAACTCTATGCAAATTTACGCGGGCAGGCTTCTTTTTGCCATTTCGCGGGCTCTTTTTGGCATTTCGGGGCTAAATCGCCCCGAGCCCCCGTGTATTTTTTTCACTGGTGGACAGCCGCGGGGGGTCGCGAGTCTGCTTGAGCACTGTTGAGTCGTGCTTGCGTTTGCTCAGCGGCGCATTCGTCGTCCGATAACGTCGGAATACTTGCTTTGCAAACGCGTGGTCATTACAGAGAAAGTCGGGTCGATTCCACCCTCATGCTTGCGGTCGTCGCGTATGTATGGACCAAGTGGTCGTGCAACTGTTGCGACACGCGCTTGAAATTAAGTAGATTTTTAATTAATTTTTAAATTTAATTAATTTTTTTCGGTCTAATTAGAATTTTAAGTTTATTGAAATTATTAATGAATAATTAATTAATTAATAATTAATAATTTGATATTATTTAATTTCTTCGCCGAATTAGCTAGCATCGACATTTTCGAGAGACACGAGGGCGCGCGTGTGTCGTACCTTCGCTTCTCCTTGCCCGGACCCCGCACGAACGACCAGTCTACAGCGATCTTCTGTCCGAGCATGTCGGTACCGTTGAGCCCGTCCATGGCTGCCTGCGCCTCCTTGTACGTCTCATACTCCACCAGCACGTATCCCTGAAACACGCACGACCACCGCGTGAATTCAATGCCCGCCCGCTCTCGCCCAGTCACCGCGGCGGCAGATGGGAATAACCGAGTCGGTGGGCGAAACCGAGGCGAAGGCCCGTTGTCAGAGACAAAATTAGTCTTAACATTAGTCTTCACATTTAACTTTTCCTCATAGACTGTTGACAGAAACATGGTAACGTTACGAGTTTCTATTACGCAGTGTATGGAGGTCCGGTCTACGAGGAAACGTTAATGTTAAGACTAATGATAAGGCTAATTTTATTTCCTGAGAACAGACTCCAGCCGCGCGGCGGGTGGTCGGGAACGTGAGTCACGTTTAACACTCTCGTAGCGAAGCGGCGGCTTATCGCGAATCTACGCTCGGCGCAATGAAGAGAATTGCGCTGCGGTGTATGCAGCTCGCATGTCTAATTCCCCTTCGGCTCCCACAGAATGTGCGACAAATGTGTCACACATGTTATACGCCCTAACCCTAACACAGACGCTAACCCTAACCCTAACATACGCTAACCCTAACATGAACCCTTACTGACATATTGCATAGTCATTGAATAATTTATCAAATAGAAATTAATAAAATAACCGACAAGTCGGCCTTCTCGGACGCTGAGCGACGTCAAGGTCACCTTCAGGAATCCGGTTCGTCTGTCCAAGTTCATGTGAAGGTTCTTGATTTCTCCGAACTCTGCGAATTTGTCGATGACGTCGTCTTCCTGGGCTTCCTCGTGGACGTTGGTGACGAACAATATCCAACCTTCCACGGCTGCAAAGACAAAAAAGACGACGAAAGCCCGCCGAGCAAACGCAAGCACGACTCAACAGCGCTCAAGCAAGACTCGCGACCCCCCGGCCCGTCCACCAGTGAAAAAAATACACGGGGGCTCGGGGCGATTTAGCTCCCGAAATGCCAAAAAGAGCCCCGGAAATGGCAAAAAGAGCCCCCGTAAATTTGCATAGAGTTCAATGCAAACCAAATTTTAGAGTGCTATTTTCATGCACGCGAGCTTGAAAAGTAGCCCCCGAAAAATAAATAATTTTTTCCCTGCCGTCCACGTAACCCGAGTGACATGATCGCGATCGCCTACTCACTTTGCCTCGTTGTAGCGAGCCTGGAAGAAGGACTGCAATCCCCGAACGTAGTAAGCAGATGCCTTGATGCTGTGGGAGCTGAAAGCGACAGAGAAGATTAGCGAGAAGAACGAACAACCTTGTTGATGCCAACGCCTTCCCTTTTAACCTGTCTCAAGCCACTTCACGACTCCAGTGGCATTACGCACACGAGCTGCTGTTCACGATAGTGAGTACTTGCTTTCAATAGATGGCACTAATGGTTGCTTTTAACTAGTACGAATAAGACAAAAGCATCTGCACAGTAACGCCATAGTAACGCGCATCACAAACCCAAAATCAGACGTAAAGTTACGACTTGTAGGATTCTAACTACATAATAAATCTTGAGTACAATGGAGATACTTAGGACAGACTATTCGATATATATATATATATACCATGTATTCACGAGAGAGGCACAAAAGAAACCAAGGAGAGTCTGAGGAAGTCTTATAAAAGCTAAGTGAAATCGGGAGAGACTCGATGACTCTTCTCCCGACTCGGTGCAATGGAGCCTCAGGAGCCTCAAGAGAGACTCAGTGCAATGGAGACACATGTATGAGTACTTCAAGAGACCCAAGAGCCTCTGAGAGAAGACTCGAAACTCGGTTCAAAGCGTCGAGCAGATAAATGAAGTCGTACTCACTTGGCGACTATGCGTTCGGGGTCGATGCGTTCCAGCAGGCCCATGAGGTCGGCCTCGCGATTCGTGCGCAGGTAGACAATGGCCAGGTTCAGGTTGATGAACGTCCACAGTTCGTTCTCCGTCGACAACTACGACAATGGAAAAACCAAATTATTTTTTCATGCGAAACATTAGTGAAAGTGACGAGACAAAATTTATGAGCATTTGTGCCGTACGCGAAGTCACAATAAAAATTATGGGAATTGTATTCACTGCAAGACTAGCATATTTGCCCGAGAGTAAAAAATTCTTACGAGGTAAAAGACCAAAGAATTTCAGGATTGTGATAAGCCGAATGACTTGTGACAATCCAAAAATTAGGGTCCAGCCAAATACAATAACACAGGTTATAACATATACACATTTAGAACAAGCTTTATCGGTTTTACGGACAAAATTGAAACTAGTTATGTATCTACATCATCATCAGCTATTATTTTCGGCGAGACCCGATCGGAAATCCGCGAAAAAAAGAAGAAGCGAGAACAACGACGATCTACGATCGCTCACCCGCAGCGCAGTGTTGAACTGCGTCTCCGCTGCCTCCATGCAGTTCATCGACATCGCATAGAGACCCAGCAGCGTGTGGACCTGCGGCCGGTGAGTCGACATCAGGTTCGGATGCTGGTGACATAGCTGGCAAGCCTGCACAATCTGCGAGCATATATGTACCGTACGTGAATTCAAGATGGAAATTCTGGTAAAGGTATTCGCTAGCAGATTCGCCCGACGACGTTTTACTAGGTGAAAGACCAATGAATTTTAGGATTGCACGCAATCCGCGAACGAGAAGAAGAGTGCGAGACAGTAGTAAGACGGCATTGGCTACTCGCGCTAAGACAAACATTCGGAAACAACGTCCACGACCCGCCTACGAATGTGGGCATCTTATTTATGATTTAGCATAAAATTATGGAGGTAGTAGGTGATAGCATAGTTGTAGAGTATAATTGCATGTGAAAGTAACGACATTAAATTAGGTTATATTTTAAGAGGTTAAATTTAGGTTATATTATACATAAAAGATAAATCTGTGGGAGGATGGAAGGACTTTACTCCCTTTATAGTAAAAAATCTTCTCACGGAAGCTATAGTATTTGCCACATACTAACGATCAGTGATCGATGGAGAACACTCCATTCATACTTTACCTCTTGTACAGCCATTGTTTTATTTCCCATCACCAGACGACACATGATGATGTGTTCCAGAAGCATCAGTTGGAATGTGGAGAGGATCGGATGGGAGTCGACCACTGCGACGTAAAAAAGAATGCTTAACTGGCAGATTTTCTTGCATACCATAATTTATATGCCTCTATTTTATTAAATATATTTTTTAATTTTATTTCAATTTCTTTTACTGACATGCTTCTAATGATTGCCACGATGATTCTCCTAATTTCATCCTTTAGTAATGTATTATTATCGATTTAATCATTAGTCTTCTAAACGATGCTGTCAGTATTTTGAGATGTTTTTTTTTAGATCCGATGTTTGTTACATCCTACAGACATAACATACACAGCTTTTACATGTAATATCAAAATTATATTTTGCTATGTATCATTTATCGCAAACATATTATTCACATGTATTAACTATGCGTCAAAGACCTGACTAGGTTACGTATCAGATGGCCCCTGTGCACCTGAGATTGCTCAACATTACCACTCTAGGCAGCATCTGAGGAACGCCGGCCATGCCACAAGCGTACCGGCGCCCCCTATATGCAACTCATCACCTACGCAATGCCTCAGTCAAGTCCATCCGCAATTATTTTGTTCCGCCATTGGAAATTATGTTCGCAGTTATGTTATTTTAATTTTGTGGCGTAGGTCGTTGAATGCACTTACTTTTAAGCTTGGCAATCTGCATCAGGGCCTTATCTGTGTACTTCTGTGCTTTGTCCATGTAGCCAGCTTGCATCGAATGCATCACAGTCACCTAAATAGAGCCACGCAACACCTATAGTCGACTGGAGATGCGAAACGGCGCAACTAAACTCTGCTAGTAATAACCGCACGTAAATTAAACCATCGTTAGCGATCAGTCACACCAAAAACTGCCATTATGTATAATACTCTATCAGTATAACAACTTTTCTCAAATTCACAGCGAGAAAATTTATACGTCACTCACTTCACAAACCCGACGATGCGACGTACCGAATTTGACAAACCGAAAAAAGACTGGAACGTTGACCGACGATACCTCACGACGAGTCACCGGATTTCTTTCTCTCTGTCGAAAACCTGCACCACAACACGAAGAACATAGACTAGCGGACCGACGGCAGCACCAGCGTCGGGCAACGATGCACGTGAAGACACACGTACGTGACGACACTTACCAGATAGACGAGCACACACATGTGCTCCTTCGGCAGCCAGTGAAACATCTCGACGGGGTTGCTAGGCAATGGATCGTCGTCCGTGTGAAGCGAGGTAATGCTGAGGATGCTCTGCTGCAGCTGCTTCAAGCACGGCTTCACGCTCTTTACCTGTGGTGGGGCGCAGACTGAAGAATCAGGTAAAGGCAGTGGCGCCATCTACCAGGGCTAATATTAAATTAATTTTAGTCATGTGGGCCTGCAATCTCCTGCACCAGACCGTTTACTTACACACTCGTGTGTGTGCGTGCGTGTGCAAGTGTGTGTCTGTGTGTGTGTGCATGTATACATGCATATGTGCGTCCGTATGCACGTGTGTATGTACATTTATTTTTATATAAATGGATACCTGTGTATAAAACACACTTTTGACTAATTTCCCTTGACTGACAATATATATACAAGTTTGGATGTAGTTGGAGTAAGGTGGGAATCTCAGTGACTCACCTGGCCAACCATGAGATATTGGCACACCTGCAGTACCAGGTAGAACACTCGCAGTGACTCCTTCTGAGTCGGCGGTCCATTCCACTGGTCAATCAACTGACCAGACACGGTCAGCACTTGCACCACCTCGGCCAGCTTGTGATCAATTATCATTACCTGTGGAGAATCACCGATCGTACACAAGCTGTGCAACTATAATATAACAACTAAACTCAACTTTCCGCCCAATCAACATGTAAACAATACAATGTGGTTGTGAAAATGCTAAATCTTGTAAGTCTCAAACATTTAAGCTTCTTCTATGAAATGTGAATTTGATTGCAACAATGATATCGATTGAACATTGATGTGAGGATATGTGTGAGGTTCATGTGTGAGAATAAAGAAATTCTATAATGCCTTTAATATTTACGTGATCATCATGCAATTTACAAAAAAATACAAGTCTACAACATGTGACTTACGAATAAATTTACTCAGAAATTTGCATTAAAAACCTGCATAAATTAAAGGCACGTATGGTTTACCATTGCGCGACTGAGCATGAACAGTATTCTGGTATAAATTGCTCCAGCTACGTGTGCAAAGTCTACCCCAACTCCAAGCAGTCCACAAGCAGAGATATAGTCTTTCTCTGCTGCATGAAGTTGCTGAAACATAAACAATAAATCACTACATAAACAACCCAATATAACCACATAAACTAAAATAACATTTATTGGCATTTATACACAGGTTTTTGTCATGCTATTTCTTCGGCCCGTTCAACTGATGTGAGGCAGTGCGCATGAGTCTAGTACTTACAGCAAGTTGAAAAAGCAGACGGCAGTGCCAATACGCAGACTGTGATTGTTGAGAGATCTCTACAGCTTTACGGAGCACACCCTTAGAAAAGTTCTCCATGTTCTGAAAATTGTGAATTTCATACTATAGGTATATTATCAATATCATGCTAGGCACACATGTAAAATGTTTCTTACATTCTAATATGTTTACCCGGAAATCACACAAACATACACGCATCCAAAATGTACGAATAGTTAATATATTCACCTGTAGCTGATAGATCTCAGCTAAAATACTTGCCACTTCAAATTTAACATCATCGAATGACGCCATCTGTTCATTTTGTTAAGAATGCATACTGACTGTGATTGCTAAGCATCTTACCATAAAGAATGTTATGCACAATGATGTTATTAATAATTTTATAACTTTAATGATGTTGACTAAATATTAACGTGCATTTGGATGGTTTTGGACATAGACCACAACCAGTTTCTGTTTGTTAACTGCAAAAACCATCACTTTCATACCGTATACACTTAATCAATCATATTTTTACACCAAATTACCACTACAAAACAGTCGAATCAAAAGGATACGGGTTGTGAAAGATGCCACTGTAAAAGACAAAAAGAAGATTTCAGACACGTGTTTAAATTGATAAACTAACTAGCGAAACACTGAATATTTGACTCCGCGAACACGATTTGTTATTTGAACTATATTTGTTCACCTGCACATTCACGACATTGTTCGAATAGTAGTACTACTACTAGTAATATTAGAGCGTTAAGAACTGCACGATGTACAACTAATAACACTATTGCCTAGTGTAGCAGATATTTGGCGTCTGGTCAAACATGAAGAGATGCGTACTGCTTTCTCCAGGTGATTTCTGGCGAGATCTATGTTTTTCGTGTGGTGAAACAGTAGACTTCCTAGTTGCAAATGAGTTCGAGCTTCTATCCGTGAATGTGGCGTAAGAGTAAGTATCCCCTGCAAACATTGGATGCATAGTCTATAGTTCGGTGGACTGGACGTTCTAAAATGTTCCGCAAGCCCGAGTAGAGCTAAATAACAAGCATCTCCTTGTCCTTGTTGTTGTGGAACAGGAAAACTCGACGCCATCTTCGTCTTCTTGTTACCTCGACGTGAAGATGTGTTGTGACTTTCAAAGATAAAAGTCAGAAGCAAGAATACTGAAGTCTTTGAAAAATAATTTAATTACACAATTGCATCGATAATAATTTATATTTTATTAGACATCAAGCACGTCAATGAAATGGCTCGTAATTATCTTATATAAACAACGTAACAATAGGTATGTAAATAATAAGTTCTGTTATTTCCGATAGGGGCGCTGTTACGAAATGGCCGGCGAAGCAAACGAGAATGAGGGAAGAGGGAAACGTTACGAAAAAATCAAATTTTTAGGCGAAGGACAGGTGATAGACATGTTAACTGCCTTACTTATGTCTATGCCACCAGGCGCTTGTAACCTGTAAATAGTTTATGGTCATCGTCATTCCTTTTCCTGCGTTTGTAGAGCGACCAGAGTGAAGCCGGCTGGCCACGAATAATAAAATATCACTCAGCCAAACAAAATACCATTACCGAGTAGTGTCTACAATAATAATATTAATAACACCACAGGCAAATTTATCGCTGGAACTAGAAGTCCTGAATAGGTTCTCCGTTTTTCTCTGTCTTTGACGCTCTCCATGTCCCTCGCTTCATCTTTTATCCTCTCGCTTTTTTGCTTCCCTCACTCTTCATCGCCCTCTCCTTCACTTTTCTTCTCCCCTTACCCCTTCTCTCACTCTGATCTTACTCTTAGCTCTGATCTCACTCTCCCCTTTCTTCCCCCTCTTCCTTCTCACTCACGCTCTCTCTCTCTCTCTTCCATCTCTCTCACCCCGTCTCCCCTCTCTTCTCTCTCTCATCTTCTCACCCCGTCTCCCCTCTCTCTCTCCATCTCTCTCACCCCGTCTCCCCTCTCTCTCTCTCCATCTCTCTCACCCCGTCTCCCCTCTCTCTCTCCATCTCTCTCACCGTGTCTTCTCCCCTCTCTCTCTCTCCATCTCTCTCACCCCGTCTCCCCTCTCTCTCCATCTCTCTCACCCCGTCTCCCCTCTCTCTCTCTATCCATCTTTCTCACCCCGTCTCCCCTCTCTCTCTCCATGTCTCTCACCCCGTTCTCTCTTTTCATCTCTCTCACCCAACTCTCCCCCTCACTTTCTTTCTCTCTCTCTCTCTCTCTCTCTCTCTCTCTCTCTCTCTCTCCCCCTCACTCTCTCTCTCTCTCTCTCTCTCTCTCTCTCTCTCTCTCTGTCTGCTGTCACCTACTCTATTACACTTCTTATCTCCTTTCATGCTGCCATCCTGTTTGTTGCGTGTGTCCTGCTACATATATTATGGAAAGATATCAGATACATCAAGGCACATATAGTTATAGTATGTACAAAATTTACAAGTTTATATTAAATTAGTCAATTCCTTGTATTTATCACTTTTTTCAGTTTGCACAAGTGTACAAGGCACGGGATGTACAAAATGATGGACGCATAGTCGCAGTTAAAAAGGTGAAAGTACAGGGATAAATGAACAATAACACATTAACATAACCATGATCAAAATAATATACTCATTATTATGCCCAGCTATGCCATGTTCTCACTTCTCAGTTTAGAGTTTCAGTTATTAAATTTAATATCTACAGTTTGAAGGCACATGGCTCACATATCATGTCATATGAACATATGTGTGATATCATCAATATATATTTAAAAAATAAATACATACACGTTCATTGTAATATGCACTTTTGTACTTCAGATTAAATTAGGTAATAGACAAGAAGCCAAAGATGGAATCAACAGGACTGCACTCAGGGAGATTAAGCTGTTACAGGAACTTTATCATCCAAACATCATTACTGTAAGATTTGTCTTCTGAGTATTAAAGGAACCTATCAGTCTCATTTCTCATATTTCTTATCTGCGAGCAAAGTGACGCTTCCATTGTCTGATAACAGGCTGACGGCAGTCTTTGGAGTAATGAGAGCAATATTTACTTTGTCAAGGCTTATAGTTCTTATTTCTCCATAGAATGTTATACTGAATTTTATGACTGATTTTTTTTTGCCAGTTGATGGATGTCTATGGACAAAAGTCCAATATATCACTGGTGTTTGATTTCATGGAAACAGATCTGGAGGTACCTATGAATATACACCTAAATAATAATAAATGTAATATAGAATATTATCATTTTGTCATATTTTATGTACGAGTAATACAAATCTGGACACAATTGAAACTAAATTAGATATTCGATTTTATATGTACGAGTTTTGCTGTGTTCCAAACCATCTATTCTAAGCAAGACATTTCTTTAGGTGATTATCAAAGACATGACGGTTGTTCTGACCCCAGCGCACTGCAAGTCATATATTGTCATGACCATCAAAGGACTTGAGTATCTTCATGCTAACTGGATCCTGCACAGGGTTAGTATCTAATGTGAATTTTAGGTTTGATTGTTTCTATTCTTTTAGTAATGTAACTGGCACTGTAACACGTATTCGTGTTATCGCTATGTTGTTTCATGTTGTGCTGTACATATTTTGCAGGATTTGAAACCAAACAATTTGTTGGTTGACAGGAACGGGGTGCTAAAGATTGGAGATTTTGGTTTGGCGAAAACCTTTGGCTCGCCAAATCGTGTGTACACACATCAAGTTGTCACGAGGCCAGTTGAATGTTTTATTATTATTTCAAGAGAAATTTATGAATGAAGGATAATTGATTCTGACATTGGAGATTCAAAACCATTATTTCTGAGTTCAGAGTTTCCAACATTAGTTAATCTATCACCTGTTTTTATACATGTAAGTTTGTGTGCATGCAGTACTGAACGTTCTAGTGGTTATACAGAACTATATTATTATTACTATTAAATCTTTATTGCATGTAATTCAAATACAAATACATGTACTGAAGTACATGTACATAATTAGAATCAAGTGCCCATTAACTAATTACTAGATGTGATTAGTTATTGGGCTTTTGGTAGAATGCAGTGGATACATGTTGGATATGTACTGTTACTGTGTTGCAGGTGGTACAGAGCGCCAGAGCTACTGTTTGGAGCAAGAATCTACGGTGTGGGAGTTGACATGTTTGCTGTCGGCTGCATTTTGGCAGAACTACTTCTCAGGGTATATATATGTATCTCTCTGTCTCTCTCTCTTTCTCTCTCTCTCTCTCTCTCTCTCTCTCTCGCTCTCTCTCTCTCTCTCTCTCTCTCTCTCTC